CCCCCTCGGCCCCACCCTACAGCACAGCCCCCCTCGGCCCCACCCTACAGCACAGCCCCCCTCGGCCCCACCCTACAGCACAGCCCCCCTCGGCCCCCCGCCTGGCCAGCCTGCGCCTCTCTGCGGCCCCGGGGACCAGGCATCAGATTGGAGTCAAGATTCCGCGAGTGTCATTTGCCGCCGTTGATGGTGCTGATAATAGGGACAGGCTGGCGGGCGGCAGCGGTGGCGCAGAGGCGGATTCTCTATTAAGGCTTCCCCCCTCAGCGCCGCAGCAAGCGGGAGGCAGGCCAGAGCCAGCGCTGGGCAGGCGAGGCCGAGACAGTTCCGTGATGGGCTGGGCAGCTTGCCGCTGCTGCTGTCTGCTCCGTCAGTGCAGGCCAGGCATTGGCAGGCAGCTCAATGCCCGGGCAGTGATGGGGTCAGAGGATGCCAAATCCCAGGAAGGGGATGGAGGACAAATGGGAAGCCCCAGCCCATGGCTTTGCCACACTGTGCCCGGAGAGTCTGCCTGTTTCCATCCTACTTCACTGCTGGGGATGCAAAGCCCCTGCTGCTGAACAGAAAGGAAGGTCCTTGCTATCCTACCTGCTTTCAGAGCGGAACCATATAAAAGGTCAGTAACACACACACACACACACACACACGCACACAGCACCAGGGAAACCTGGCAGAGCCTCCCCTCAGCAGCCGAAAGCACTACTGGGAACTTGGCTAGTGGATGCTCCTATAGGTGACTACACTGCCCCTGCACCTCCTCCAGGACCACCACCACTGCCCAGGCCCCCTCCATTACCACCATCCACAGTACACAACACTCGCTATCACTGTGCCCCACTCCATCATTGTTGCCACTCAGCAAGTGGTTAAGGCTCTAGAGCTCCTCCAATTACTAGCTAGCTGTGTTACCTTCATCATCTTTAAAATGGGGATAATAGGAGCTAGCTCATAGGGTTAAAATGATTAAACAAATTCCTCCATACAAAGAGCTTAGAATAGCGCAAGGCACATAGTTAGTACTCCGTTATTAGTGCTGTTGTCGTTATGATCCCTGTTCTCACCATTATCAGTTTCATTACCACCATCTCCACCCACATCATCACCACCTCCACTGCCTTCCTTAATAGTATTCACCAGGTTCCAGGCATTGTTCTAAGTATTTTACATATATTAACTAATTTCGTCCTTATGACAACTCTATGAGGTAGGCATTATTATTATCAGATGAGGAAACTGAGGCACAGAAAAGTTAAAATAACCTGCCTAAGGTCACACAGCTAGCAAATGTCAAAAGCAGAAGTCGAACCCAGGCTGAGTTCTTATCTACTATGCCAAGCTATCTCCCATTAGGGCCTACTTCTTTGCCTACAGTATTGCCACCTTTTGACTGTTGCCAATACTTCCCCATCACCTCCACCATTATCAGCACCCCAGCTCTCTCCCCCACTCCATTAGCACATTAGTACCATCACCACTATCTCCATGGCTGTCTCTGTCTCCACGATCATCAGCCCCATGCCCATCTCAACCACCACCAGATTCTCAGCACTGCTACTCACAGCCTACCCAGAACAGAGTCTTGCTTCTGCCTTCCCTAGGCTGTGTGCCCTGAGAGGTGTGAATGTTTCCAGGGATTCAGACCTGTTCATGTGGCCAGATCTGGAAAGGACAGACAAAGAAATTTAAATTGCTACGAAGCTATTCAGGTGCCAGCTAGAATTTAAGGTTGGCTGGAGCCTGCAAGATGTGCTTTGCAAAGCTGACTTCTCAGTTCCCCCAGGACGCCTAGTATGGTTTAACCCCCCCTTTTAGCATTCTGAGAGCTTCTGATGTGGAAAGACACCTTCTACCTCACAACAGTTGGGCTGAGGACACATTCATCAGCACAGACACAGTCCCCGCATTTGGCTACTTAGAAGTCTGTCCTCTCAACCTACTGACAGCCTGTAAGTGGCGGGGACACAGCCTCATTCCTCTCCTTGTCCCATTTCTTCTCCAGTCCTTCACCCCACAACACACACCCAACACCAGTGACTAAATGGACAGATAAACTCTACCTGGGGCTGGAAGGGGAAGAAGGATCTTGCTGTCCATGGTACTGAGACAGCCTTGCTCTTTAGGGACACACTTGTCCCCTAGAGACACACAAGGTCCCCTCTTGTCCTTTACAGATAAGAACTAGTCTTGGATTTTTCCAGGGCCCATCACAAGTTGCCACTCCCATCGCTGTCCCCCTTTACCCACCTTGGGGGTGACTCAAGAAATTGCCACGTTCACGTGAGTGGGTTCCAGGCCTGAAATTTAGTAGACTAATGTTTTCCCTGAGCTTGAAGTTTTAGCCCTCTCCTCAGTCATCAGCACCAAGCCACCCCAAGCAGGCAAACCATCTTCATAAAACAGCACACTTGCAGTGCAAACCCAGCAGGCAGGGTCTTGAGCACCCCCCTTCCCTCTTGTTGGCCACCTCTGCAACCCCTATATGGAAATCCTCTGATTCCGGCTGCCGAGTCTTGCCCCCCAGGCTAGATAATTGGATGCCTTTCTTTCGAAGATCCCTGCTGGTTTCCAGCTGTGTGGAGGGTACAAAGTAAACAGGAGATGCTTGGGGGCCTTGCACACAGTAGGTGCAATAAATTTTCGAGGCACTGTGGGCAGGGACCCCTTCCTCTTTGGCTGGTCCCCACCCTCACCCCCAGGGCCAGCGTGGAGTATGCCCAAACTGGAGGAGAGTGAGTTGGACTTTGCCTCTTCACTTGGTCAGAGAAGAGAAAAGACAGCAAGAAGGCCCCAGGCAGACATGGGGTCTCACTCCAGTCTTCACCCTGCTCGCCCCTGCCCCCAGCCTCAGATGGGCCATGGGCTTCTCTCTCCAGGAAGGTAATGGCTTCTGGCCTGAAACAACTGAGCCGCTGAGCCACTTCAGATTGGCCTCCCTCTCCCCACCTACTCCTCACACACTTGTACTTGGGGGTTGGAGGGAGGGGGGGGATCTGTCTGCCTCCCCTCAGGGTAGACTGCCCAGACTAGTTCCCCCAACCCGTGTGTGCTCTCCTAGGTAATAAACCTGAATGGGGGAGGGGAAATTGTCATGGATCCCAAGGGGTCTCCCTTCTCCCCAGCCTCCCTCCTTTGGGGGAAGGGGTGTCAGATTTCATTGGCTGTTGGATTTTTTTCCGCGGTCTGCCTCTTCTAAACTAATTATAATATTGTAGTAACAATAACAGAAGTTCCCACAGCTTGAGCACCTACACTCTGCTAGCCACTCTGCCACATGCTTCACATTTCCTTTATATAGATCCTATGAGGAAGGGATTATCGTATCCCCATTTTAAAGATGGGGCCTGAGGCATACAGAGATGAAGTACCTTACCCAAGGATACATATCCATCAAGTGGTGCAGCAGGATTTGGATCAGGGCAGGCTGGGGGGAAGGAGGGCCCAACCCAGCTAAGGACCACTGAGATGCCACTGAGCCCCCCTGGAGGAACCCTGGGTGTGTGTAGGGGTGTGCTTTTCCCACCCTCATTCCCTTTAATCCTGCAGGCCTCCGCCTGTGTACCTCTGTGGTGGGCTTCTGCCCGGTCGGCCCCTCCCCACAGCCTGGCTGCTGATTAATTGTGACTCAGCCCTCCCTGCAGCCAGCTAATCATATCTGCCCCATTGGCAGCCAGAGGAATCCTTCCTGAGCATGAAATCAGGCCTGACTGCCCCATGGGGGCCAGGTACTTTAGGTGTGAGGGGCTGGCCAACTGGACCTACAGGTCCTGTCCGGTAGGTCAGGGATACCCAAGAGAATTTCTTCTTGAAGGTCTGATTCCTTCAGCTTCACCTCCAAGGGATTCAGGACCAGAAAGGTTGCAGGAGGGAAGGTCAATTAGGGAACCAAGCCCAGACAGCATCAGGGCCTGGCTGTAGTTACACAGGGAGGGGACTCTCCCCCTACCATGCCCAGCAGCCTGAGACACCAGAGCACATCTTCACCACACTGTAGGACCTCCCTCCCCCACTGACCAGGGTCCAGGGGTAAGCCCAGACCACTCTAGGGTGGATCCCAGATTCTGAAAATAATGCCCCCCCCCACACACACATATACCCTCTTTCCAGCGACAACAATGGTGTGTGTGATGGACACAGGCACACATGCACACAGCACAGGGGCTGGAGGCAGCGGCCAGTGCCATGCTTGCTAAAGACTCATTAACCCTGACCCCTCTTCCCCATTTATCGAGCCAGCCACAGGATCACTCTAGCACTGCCTAGGCCATGGGGTGAGGTGTCCTCCATGCCACAGTAATTGCCCTCTGCCACCTTGACAGCAGCTGTGGGGACTGAGAAGGTGACTCCACTTAGTGTTCACTGTCTGCCCATGCAAAGGATCGGCCCCTCTCAGAGGCGTGCTGTATGTGTGTGTGTGTGTGTGTTTGTGTGTTTACGTATGTGTGTGTGTGTTAAGAATATGTGTCCATGGTCATTTTGAGTGTCCAAAATGAGTGCCTGTCTGTGGTCACTGTGTGCCCTCAGTCATTATATGTGGCTGTGATGTTTGTGTGAGGGGTGCGAGGCTAAGGATATACATACTGGCAAACACAAAAGCATACATGGACATACACTGAGCATGAAAGCATGTGTGTTCCCTGGACATACCCCAATCATACACACTGAACATTTTACACATGAAAAGTGGCT